ATTCCTTATTTTTGGTCCAATTTATCTATGTTTACGATCAGCTGGTGCCACACGTGATCAAATTGTAGCTGATTATTCTATGGTTGCACCTATTGATAAATTTTTACATCTAAATGGTGCAACTATTGTTACTGCAGCTATGAGTCGTTCCCGAGAATTCTATGGTGCATACCTTGCTTAGTTCTATTTGTTGTAGTTTCTGTAATATTAATTAATAGATTGACACATTTCATGATCACGCATAGCTTAAATGAGATGTGATATTACCATTCAAATTCATGTTTCAATCAATGTGAATGTAGATAGAAAGAAGGCGTAATTGAATGGGGGTAATCCCATCCTCACCATTCTTGTTTTTGAAAAAGAGTACAATACAAAGATGTTCCTTTGATCTGATAGGAAAACTCAGAAATTTGTCCATTGTTTTTCTCTATTGGTAATACCAATGGAGAAAAAGATATGTTAAGTCATGCTCAATTTTCATCCACGTTCCGTTTTGCGTAATGAAGGTCGACAGTATGAGACGATACTAAGACGGACGATTTAACTTGAACAGGTGTTCGACTTATGGAGGGAGATACGCAGCGCAACCCAAAACAACTTATATACAGTGGTGTGAAAAATTATAGAATCACATGACTGCGCTCATTAGTTTATTTCAGCTCGGCCCTTTTGAGTTCCTCAAAACAATTGAGTCGATGTTAGTTTGTACATTCGAACAAGCTTTATTAGAATACATCATCAGTTTTCCAAAAATCAGTTGGTAAGTTGGAAAAAAACTAGCTTCTCAAAAATCATCAGTTTTTGCCTGTGAAAAATTATAGAATCATTTCACTGTTTATCGCATTTTTTTGCCAAAATGACTTCAATTTGAATTGAAAATCACATGCATAGATAGTAATCATCCTGATGAAAATTTTCATTAAAAAAGAATTGAGAAGATATTTGTATTAGAACTGTAGATAAGTTATTATTGATTAAGCCAAATCGGCTGGGAAACACCATATGGAACTGGTGTTCTGGGATAGGTGAGCACAATACAAAAGAAAATCATATTTTGTTTTCAGGACCGTA